TCATACCTGTCACATTCTAATGGATCACTCTGTCCTGTCAATGTAGGTTTAAAACAAAATGTGCTCAGCCTGGCATGGTGGCTCACACCTGTAATCGCAGAACTTTGGTAGGCCAAGGTGGGCGGATCACCTGAGATCAGGAGTTCGAGACCAGCCTGACCAACATGGAGAAACCTTATCTCTACTAGAAATACAAAATTAGCCGGGCGTGGTGGTGCATGCCTGTAGTCCCAGCTACTCGGCAGGCTGAGGCAGAAAAATCGCTTGAACCCAGGAGGTGGAGGTTGAGGTGAGCCAAGATGGCACCATTGCAGTCCAGCCTGGGGGACAAGAGCAAAACTCCATCTTAAAAAAAAAAAAAAAAAAAAAAATTCCCACAGTCCTTTAAGTTGACAAACAGAAGTACAATCTCAAAGATCATCTTATACCAAACATGGAAGCTTTGGTGTCCTGTGGTGGAAGGACAGGTTACACAGCTCTAGCCTAGCCAGGCTGCCACAGCACTGACATACAGAGCGGTGTTATTCCCGGGGTTTGGAGAAGGTGCAACAAAGCACCTGCCAATGCCCAGATGCAGGGCAGAGGTGGGAATGACAGTGTGCACTGTGAGATGTGCAAAGCATGCTGAACCGGGCGGGGCAGGGTGAAGGTGGGAGTATCAGGTAGGTCCCTGAATAGCATAGAACTAAGAAGAAAATGGCATTAGAAGGAATGAATGGCTCTTGCTACCATGTTCAGGGTGCAAAGGTGTGACTGAAGGCAGGCAGACCAACCGGGAATATGATGCAATAAAACGGCTGGAAGATCATGAGAAGCCAATGGTACAGCAATCCCGAGAAGCAGCAAATCTCCAAGGGAATGCAGAGAAACACTTTGGATCAGGGGAGAAGCAGGTGGCACCAGACTCTTGACTGGGGAGACTGAGGGTCGAGCACAGCGACAATATCAGAGATTTGGGCAGCTGAGGCTTGGTAAAGTCAGATTTCACCATACTGAGTTCAATATTAAACTTATTTCTAAACTCAAATAACAACATCACATTTTTGTGTTGTTATTCTTGTTTTTGTTTGAGTGAAGACACGGGGCCTCACTCTGCCGCCCAGGCGGGAACACAGTGGCCCAATCCTATTACTGCAGTCTTGACTTGTTGGACTCAAGCGATCCTCCTGCCTCAGCCTTCTGAGGAGCTGGGACGACAGGGGCACACCCCTGCACCTGGCTACGCTTCTTTATGAAGGCAAATTTTCTGAGAACAAAACATGCTTCATTCACCTCCTTTGAGAGTGGAAGTAAGGAAAAAATTTTAAAACACAACCAAAAAAAAACACACTTCACAACTTAGAAGAAATACCATAAATAGCCATTTTTAAAGTAACATAAGAATTATATGAAGAGTAAAATAAACCTAAATCTATTAATTGAGCAAATTACCTTTCAAGCCAACAATCCATTCAGCAAACATCAGAGTAGTTACTGAAAGCTTACAGTCATGAATCCTGAATTTCTGGGAAAGAATATCAGAAATCATTAGTCGCTCCTTCCCACTATACCCCAGATGCCAAAACCGTCTCTGACGGGTTATCCAGACCCACGATAAACCATCTCTGACGGGTTATCCAGACCCACGATACCCCAGCGATGGACTGGCCACTGCAGGGCAGGCAGCCCACACCATTCAGAAAAAGACGTTTCCTCCCACAAGCTGGGTATTAATCAAATCCGCCAATGATGTAAAACAATGTCAATATTCTTTAAAAGAAGCACAGCGACAGGGAGAAAAACAACAGACCACCACACTACAGCAGAAAGATATTTATAAATATTCTAACAGCTTTTATTACAATGGTGCAAGGAAGTATTTCATCCAACACTCACCGACAACAAACCATCATCTTCTATAAAACAGTTCCAGAAAGTTCAAACAAAAAAAACTAAAACATACAAGATCTGTAGTAATTCTCATACAATACTGTTTAGTGTTCAAACTTCATGTCACTCCAATAAAGTATAATCATTTTCTAGCAAACATGTGGCAAAAAAGTTTGCTGTTTTATTTGTTTGCCTATAAACATATCAGAACATGCCTCACAATTAAAAACTCTGGATCACAGCACTCCATGACATCAATATCTATTCGTGCTTAGTATCAGCCAGTTGTACCAAATACCATAAAATACAAAATGATAGGAAATATAAACATCGATTTGTATTTCAAGTTTAAACATTTTATTTACAAAAATAGGCTGGGAGGAAAAGGGTTTGCACCCCCACATTCTCTCCCGGGGCAGAATGATTTTGCGCCATTTTCTAATGTTGTTTTCTCTAACAATTTTCAAAGTCACATTTGGATTCCTTCAGAATTGTATTTGTCAGCTAGCAGCTCGGAAGAGGAGGAGGAGGCGGGAGAGCGAGGGAGAGGAGGGCGGGTGAGGGAGGAGGCTGGCAGACAGCGGTCGCACACGGATAATGGCTTTTACTGAAGGGCCCGCGCCGCGCCTCATGCACCGGCAATGCAAGCACGCTGCTGGGCAGCAACACCGACGTCGCTATTTACAGAACGGCGGCCTTCTCTGGGTTCTGAAGGACACTTGTTCCCCAATGTGACACCATTGAACGACGCTTTCAGGCAGACACTAGGACATGACTCCGAAGACGGGGTTGTGGCGGCAGATGCTGGGCCCGTACTCTTCATAGTCCTTCTTGGTGTGGCAGACCTGAAAGAACTCGGGCTACGAGAGGCAACAGGCGGACAGAAAGACACACATTTCAGAAGAAAGTCAAGCTACCAAGCAGGCAAAACACTCTCCTCATCCCGGCCTCCACCCTCCCTCACGGGACCACTGCTGCAAGGTTTTACCTCTCTGATGTACGGAACTACTAAATGGGGGGCATTTCACTTTTTAGAAATTTCATCAGCCTCTATCTTCTCAGGACCAACCAAATGCTGCTTCCCCACTAACAACGTGTGATAATGTGTAAGCTGTTCACAGACCCCCTACCACCAACGTGTGAGCTGTTCACAGATTTGAGGGGAAAAGTAAGAATTATTTGGAAAAGTCACTGAAATTAATGATTAATGCAGGATTTGTTTAGATTATTTTTGGATTCCACTTACCATGTTATCTGTAACCCCTAATTAGCAATGGTAAGTGATAAATGTGTTGTGTGATTATTAAGACCATAGTTTATATTGGGCCGGGCGCAGAGGCTCAGGCCTGTAATCCCAGCACTTTGCGAGGCTAAGCGGGAGGCGGGGGTGGATCACCTGAGGTTAGGAGTTCAAGACCAGCCTGGCCAACATGGCGAAACCCCATCTCTACTAAAAACACAATCAAAAAAAATTAGCCAGGTGTGGTGGTGAACGCCTGTAGTCCCAGCTACTCAGGACGCAGAGGCAGAACTGCTTAAACCTGGGAGGCAGAGGTTGCAGTGAGTTGAGATCGCGCCACTAAACTCCAGCCTGGGTGACAAAGTAAAACTCCATCTCAAAAAAAAAAAAAAGATATCATTTATATTTTACAGAATTGTCTGTTTAGAGCCACACGATTAGGGCACACACTATTTCACCTTCATAGATGATATTTACCCAAACTCAACAGAGAGCACAGGAATGGAAACACAGAGCCCGAGAGAGGGACTTACAGTCGAGGCCAGCATGGAGCCTCCGAACCACACGGCATAGCGCTGCATGTGATGAGTGACCACCTGGACCTCCACAGGCTTTGGCTGGAAGAGAAAGCAGCTCTCACTTACTCCACGCGCACAGACACATCTGTGATCCAATCATCCCCCAGCTGATGAGACCACAGCTTCACCCGGAGCCGCCCTCCTCTTACTGGCACAAGCACAACCTCACACCCAGCACTCAGTGACTCTGCCCCTGCTGCCAAATCCCCTCTAAGACCCACCACAATCCCAGCCCCCAGGGCTCAAAGGAACACAGTGCACCCGGCCAGCAGAACCTGCCTCTCACAAGGCTGAAAGCATTAAAGCACAAAAGCACAAAATCCAAGCAATTAACCTCACTGCTTTTTCTTGACCAAACATATCAGATGTTCTGGCACTGCAGAGATCATCCCAAATAAGATTAACCATCCCCAAAATACTAAAAGAAACTGTGCTTTTCCGGCTGGGCGCGGTGGCTCATGCCTGTAATCCCAGCACTTTGGGAGGCCAATGCAGGCAGATCACGAGGTCAGGTGATGGAGACCATCCTGGCTAACACAGTAAAACCCCGTCCCCACTAAAAATACCAAAAATTAGCCAGGTGTGGTGGCGGGCACACCTTTAGTCCCAGCTACTCAGGAGGCTGAGGCAGGAGAATGGTGTGAACCTGAGAGGCGGAGCTTGCGGTGGGCCGAGATCTCGACACTGCACTCCAGCCTGGGCGGCAGAGCGAGACTCTGTCTCCAAAAAAAAAAAAGAAAAGAAAAGGAAACTGTGCTTTTCCAACAGTGGACTCGTGCACGCTCTTCCTTGCGCCCACTGCCGCTATCGAAGCCCACTCTTGGTTAGAAGCCCACAGTGATCACCAGCTACTTAAGAATTACTATCTTGGAGAAACGCCTTGTAACTCCCTGCTAACGTTAGTTATTTTCATTTAACGAGAACGTTTCCGAAGGAAATGAGAGATCCTCACCGTAAATCAGTCCCATCTCCTTGGGACACTGGTCATTACACCCCATGCCTGATCTCTACGACACAAAAGGAAACTGCCGGCAGGTATGGTCAAGGAGAGTGTGAAGCTGCCATTGCTGTGTCGTCAGGACCATCGGTCTGAACCACCAGCCTGGAAGGACCTCAGGCAGCAAACCTCCGCGGTCATGTCAAAATGCAGCTCAGAAAGCGAGGCACACTTGTTTTGATTTCACGCGGCCCAGACAAGCTCCTTCGGCTCTGTGTCAGGAGGGCCCGAGTCAGGCCTGGCGCAGAAGCCCCAGGCACCACGTGGAGGCCCCTGGCTCCTACCTTGATCCTCCCGCCGCTGAGCTCCTCGCTGAGCCTCAGCCTAGCATCCACCACTCTCTTCAAATCCCTCTGTAGTCGGCGTCCAAAATCCCTGAACATGGTGGAGCCTCCTGAGAGAACGACATTCTACAAGACACAAAGCAGAGGGAGCCTTGGGTGAAATCGCCCGCCCATAGTTCCGGGAACCACCCACAACAGAACTCCCACAGGTCCAATCGCTTGTGGGCATGACACACCTGCCCTATGAAAGACGTGAACAGAAGCGAACTTAACGCTATTGGAAAAGTGTAGTTTTTTTTTTTTATGGCAACAACCATGTGCCACAGATGGCTCCTTAATCCTTTCCTCAGTTACAGCAAAGCAAAAACAAGGCGATTCTCATGCCCCCCCTGCCAACCCCTCACATGGACCAGGAAGCCAAAACCAGTAACAGAAACTGTCCAGCTGACTTGAGCCAAAACAACACTGGCTCTCCCGCTGCTCCGCCTTAACCATCACCGGGGGGACGTCTTCTAATGGGTGCTTGGAGCTTCTCAGAAGGACGATCTTGGGAAGAAAGCATCCGAGTTACCAGAAAGAACATTCTCAGATGAGCCACCCAGCCAGCACTGCCCTCCAGTGCCAAGACTCGCTCGGTGGCCACCCCAGAAGCTCGGTGGGGGGCAGAGGAAGGGGAAGCACTCGCCTGTCCCGCTCCGCCTGCCCAGAACCTGAACCAGCCCTCTGTCCAGCATCTCCGCATTGTCACCCTGCCTGCCTGTCAGTCATCCACACCGTCTGCTCCTGACCTGCAGCCACTGACATCCTCATGGCTCGATGGCCCAGGTCACCCAAGCAGCCGGTCCTCTTCTGGTGTATGTCAGAGGCCACAGTGGCCTAACCTACATCACTCACCTCTCGCCTCTCACCACAGGGCACTGCATCATCTCACGTCCTCACAAGACAAGGAAGGGTGATATTTTTAGACAGAGAGACCACATTTATGTAACTTTTCCTACAGTATATTATTACAATAATTATTCTATTAGTTACTGCTGTTCAGAAGTCTCTTACTGAGCCTAATTTCTAAATTAAACTTTATCATAGGTATGTATGTACAAGAAAAAACACAGTATATATAGGATTTGGTACTATCTGCAGTTTCAGGCACCCACTGGGGTCTTCAATCATATCACCCACTGGCAAGGGGGACCAGTGTCCTGGTTGAACTTTCTTAGAGAAAACACCTTATATGAAAACTACATAATGAAATTAATCCTTCAAGGAGTCAAAAAGCCCTATTTCCTTTAATCGTCTAAATATGTTAGCTCTTCCCGAGTTCCTGAGCAACTGCAGAGCTCTCTTTCAGGCACTCCTCCCAGTCAGCTCTGGGTGCGTGAACAGTGAGTCCCTCACCAAGTTTACAGGTAAGCAGAAGTCACAAGGAATCAGTACAGAGAAGAAAAAAAAATGCACTTTTCTGTCCCTAGCAACCCAGGTTCTAAGTTATATGATATGAGAGTAGTCCGTTCCTGCTTACTGCTGTTCTGGGGAAAGACAGCCAGCACTGAGTGCAAAGGGATCACTTTTCTCTCGTGCCAGCTCCTAGAACTGCTGTGACAGCACCCACGTGGACTCAGAATTAGAGAGTGAAGTCAGAGCAGGAAGAATGAAAGGGGGCAGAAGCCATGGGAAGCCACCAGTGATCTGGCCTTCCACCTGGGAGTGCCACCAGTGACCTGGTCCTCCACCTGGAGAAGCCACGAGGGATATGGCCTTCTACCTGAAGAAGCCACCAGTGACCTCGTCTTCCACCTGGATTCTGCTCCAATTCCACCCTGAGTGTCTGCAGAGAGAAATTTCACCTCCGGTTACCTGCCAGCAGCAGATGTTTGACAAATCACCTAACATGCTGTAGCTGCTCCAGTCGCTAAGGTGAAAGGCTGTCAGGAGCTGAAGGAGCCATGTCCAGCCCTTTCAATGCAACAATGGTTTTGCTCATCCGTGGTGGCAAATACCAAAAACGTGATGCACAGGACCTTTTTCTTCACTCGTCAGCTATTAGTGTTAGTGTATTCTATGTGTGGCCCAAGAGTTTCTTCTTCTTCTGATGTGGCCCAGGGACGCCAAAAGGCTGGACACCCCTGGGCTAAAGCTTCTACAGTGGCTTGGCCAGGGACAGAGCCTCACAAAACTGTGATCTCATAAAACTGTGCCACAATATTTTGTTCTCAGCTTCGAGAAGGTCAAGGCTAATATATTGTTAAGGGAGGATCTGGGCTTGGCCTTCAGGGCCAGGAGCTGGGGTGGTCCTGAGGCCACCCTTCCAGGACTCTCTGCAGTGGTGAGAGATCCCCCGGAGCCCACACTGCGCCCCATTCCTTGGTGTCTACCCCACACTTCTACTCACAGGGAACAGCCCTGAACACTGCAGACACTCTAAGGGGTACCCATGCCTTACGGAGACGACCTGATCATGAACACACTGAATAAAATACCTGGCAATGGTTTTCTGCCCCGGGAACTCTGCAGTCTGTCCTCATCTGGGGGTTTCACTGCCACACACTTTGCTTTCTTAAAACTCCGTGGGCGTGGCCAACCGAGGAAACCGACGTCACATCCATTTCTCGAGAGGCAACCCTGACGCCCCTCGCCACAGGGAGACCACGAGGTCACTGGGCACCTGCCTTCTTGACCCATTTTCAGTCTAGTTTTCAAGCCAACCTCCTGTCCCAGGATCGGCATGATGAATAATCACTGTTGTCCTCTGTCACCCTGTGGAGAAATCTCTCGTGACCAACCTGAGAGCGCCTGGCTCCTGTCAGAGTCTAGGGACCATCAACCACAGCTGCAGCTATGGAAATGCCAAACTCAGGGGAGCCCCTGGTTACCAACACTCAGGTAAGATGTCACCAAAAGGGGAGGACTGGCAGGAACAAGTCCCTGACAGATGGGGTGGCAGCTTGAAATCACATAAACAGGGTTATATTCTGATCCCTGGCTTCCTTCAGACGGGTCTCCTGGCCTGGTTGCTCTTTCAGACACACGGCATTCCTTGTTGCCATAATATCACAAATCATAACTTAGAAGCATTCTTGATATTTTGATCATCTCATCTTAGAATAAGCCTCAGCTGATCCCTGGTCCTGCTCTCTCATGACTGGCCACGCTCGCCGATGATTTCCTGGAGAGACAGACCCTGGCTTATATCCAATTAAGAATTAAGTGAGGACTGGGGAAGAACAAGGATGGGTCAGTGCTTGGAATTAGACATTTCTAAGGGTGCTTTTGCTGAGGTTTTGTGATTTTTTTGTTCTTTTGCTATTGTTTTTCATTTACTGTTTTGTTTTTTGTTTTTGTTTTGTGGTTTTTGTTTTGTTTTTGAGATGGAGTCTCACTCTGTCGCCCAGGCTGGAGTGCAGTGGCGCGATCTCGGCTCACTGCAAGCTCCGCCTCCTGGGTTCACGCCATTCTCCCGCCTCAGCCTCCTGAGTAGCTGGGACTACAGGCGCCCGCCACCCACACCCGGCTAATTTTTTTGTATTTTTAGTAGAGACAGGGTTTCACCATGTTAGCCAGGATGTCATTTACTTTTTTAAAGCCCACTGCAGACAACTCCTATAAAACTTCTCCAGGCTAAGATTCCTACAGCCTCGCTCTCTGTCAGGGAATGCTGCAGCCTTGGGAACAGTTCCTTGGGACACTGTCAGGCGATCCCAAACAGTGTCCCAAGGAAGCCCGGGCTGCCTGAGAGCTTTCTCTTGGCCCACCGCAGTGAGGAGAGGGGCCACGGGGCCAGGTTTCTTGACTGTCACCCTGGACTTGGTGAGCTTATCCTTCCCTCAGACAACTGTTGAAGACACGGGTCCGCTTCTCACTGTAACACCCAATGGCCGACACCGCACCGTGGGCACACCTGCTGCCTCAACTCCAAATTCTGGGCCATTGTTATTTTGAAGGATAATCTGAGGGATACACAGTCCGTTCACACCTCTGAGTCTTCTAAATTCTATCACTGGATCCAAAAGTCCCAGGGGAATGCTCCTGGTCTGCTCGGCGTTCTTTCATTATTCACTCACAAGACTGTTTCCCCTCTGAACTTCACCGCGAGCCATGAGAAGACCCAGCAGGAAGAAATCCATGTCATTATCCACTGTAGGGATGGGTGGAGGACATATTCTTAGTGAGGGTCTAACGAAGAAATTTCTCTCAGATCTCAGTGTCAGAAAAAGCTGGGCCTCTTAGGAAAACTCACTGGCCTTAATCATATGTCCCCTGTGCCTGCCATTACAGACTGAGTTCCCATCTTTCCCCAGCTGCTGAGAAGCTGAGAGCCACGAGGGGCCTCTCCCGTAGCTGGGCACGACCACAGAATGGTGCACATGGGCTCTGTCCTCGTCCCACCCTGCTGCACTATTCTGCCACCCTCACTTCTCCTCACCCAGACTCCTTCAGCTACTTCATCCTTGTATGTTGGATACACTTTCCTGCCTGCTTCAAATTTTCCACACTAGAAGGCAAGCAGGCAGGAGGGGCAGGGGTGTGGGCTTGCATGATCTTCAGGCAAAATACAGTTAATCATTCCCTAAGTTTATGAAAGGATGCTGGGTCCTCATTCTGAATTCCTTTCTTCCTTCAGTAACTGAAGGACAAACCTCAACAGCCTAAACGTCCCTGTGATCAGCAGCAAACATCCCACTGCATTCAGCAGGCAGTTACTGCGTTAAAGACACTGAGCTACAAACACAAAGAAAACATCACAGTGAGCCCCACGGACAAATTAAAACCTGAAGACAACACTTGACGAGATG